TCCCTCCCCTATTTCCCCCCACCCGACCCCAGTGTGTAGTGCTCCCCTCCCTGTGTCCATGTGTTCTCATTGTTCAACACCTGCCTATGGGTGAGAACACTATGGGAACAAGCAGATATGAAGCCGGGGAGCAGATCCCAGAGATGCGGCTCACACACCAGCCCTGTTGGAGCAGACGGAGATTGTGTAAAAATGATGCGTTGTAACCTGTAGCAACAGGAGGGCAAATGGAGAAACATCACTGAGAAGTGGGATGCTGAGGAGAGAACTGGGAGCATGAGAGCAGTGAAAATCAAGCTGAAACCAGGTGGGAAGGAATGTAATTGAAAGTGGGAGAATTAGAGGGCTAGCTAGCATGTGTCCACCAAGGAGGGTAAGGAGAGCACAAGAAAGCAGGTCTTAGTCTTCATGATTAATCCAAATCCTTTCCCAAGAAAGCACTGTGTTTTCCTCTGAAGAGTCTGATGCCGGTGGCCTGAGTGCCCTGCTCCTCTCACCAGGACCTCTCTCCAGAAATCACCAGGATTGCCACAGGGTAGAATGAGAATGCCACAATGGCCCCAGAATAGCAGGGGGATATGTGACTATGTTTTTCACCCCACCAACATTACGTTTCCCTGGGAATGCACTAAGTGTGTGGGATGTATCCTCTGGGTCCCCACTTCTGAAAGCTTTAATCCCCAGTTCACACCTTTATCGGGGCAGTGATGAGCACCTTAAAAGGCAGACACTTTTCTCCCATCACCAGCCTGCGTATTGTGGGTGGAATACCAAATCTGAAAAAATAGCCCTCTGCAGGCTGCTGCCTTTGATTATTTCCTTCTCTGGGATGTACCCAACTCCAGGCAGTCTGCCCCTGACTTTCTCCTCATAAGGACCATTCAGTTGAAGATGCTGTGAGTGAATGGGACCCAGTAATTCAGAGCCTCCTGTCTCCATTTCAGTTTTCTGATCTCTCTCGACCCACACCAGTGGCTCCCTGCTGGTGGACTTGTCCCTGAGCGACAGATACATTCTTTCAGGATTCCAGTGCCTGATCCCATCAGCCATCCAATGCCTGTGTACTGTGGGAAGCCAATGGAAAATCTAGCAGTCTTGTAAAGACACAGATTACTTGCACATCTGTCAGGGTTTAGTTAAGTACAACTGACTAATTTATCTTGTAGAGTGAGATTTCCTCTGCACGTTGACTTGGCAATTTTCTCTGTTCAGAGAATGTTTAGAATAGATGGTGTGCATGGCAATAGAGAGAAAAAAAAAGAGGCTATTAATTTCCCATTTTCAAATGTGAAATTGACTATAGAGTGCATAACCTATTTCCTTCCAGAAAAAAAAAGGCCACATTCTCTCTGCTTAGAGCAGGGCAGTGTCAGAAAAGTGAACACCCAGTGCCCCTGAGGCTCTGAGTTGGGGCCCCTAAGCGAGATGGGTGGGCCTGCTCCTGAGGATCTGCCTCTGCACCTGGGCTAAGCCAGGATTCTCCACCTTCATAACAACTAAACAACTACCTTCCCTACTATTTGGGAACATAGCTTAGCAAGAGATGCTGGTTCCTGGCTGGTGGGGGCTTATCTTTTTTCTCAGCCCATCTTAAACAGCTGAGGGGAAGAAGTACAGGAACAGACTTGGATGTCAGAATATCATGATGACACTCCGGAATGTTAGCTAGCCCAGAATGATCACGAGCTTGATTCAGTGCCACCCAGCACAACAGCCTGCTGTGGTGGGAAGATTCTGCATCTGTGCTGTCCAGTGTGGAGGTCACTAGCTGTGTGGGGCTGTTGAATGCAGTGGTGCAACTGAGGAACTATCTATTTTTTTTAAAATTTGATTTTTAGAGACAGTTTCGACTCCTGTTGCCCAGGGTGGAGTGCAATGATGTAATCTTGGCTCACTGCAACCTCCACCTCCCAGGTTCAAGTGATTCTCCTGCCTCAGCCTCCTAAGTAGCTGGATCACAGACATGTACCACCATACCCAGCTAATTTTGTATTTTGAGTCGAGATGGGGTTTCATTATGTTGGCCAGGCTGGTCTGGAGTTCCTAACCTCAGGTGATCCATCCCCTCAGCCTCCCAAAGTGCTGGGATTAAAGGCATGAGCCACTGCAACTGGCCTTAATTTTAATTAATGTAAATAGCCATATATATGGCTAATGGCAGCTTACTAGATAACACAAGCATCTATTTTTGCTGATTTCTTATGTGGCTAAAGCCAGTTGTGTGTAGGTGGATTTGTTGTTGGTTTTCTAAATGCTGTGACGCTAGCCCTAGCGTTACCTATAAATCTTCAATTTAAGAATAGGAATAGCAATCAAAATCTTAGGTGGCACATACTGAGTAATTACCATATATCATGTACTTTGCTAAGAAATTTATATACATTGTCTGATGTATAGTTATATAACAGTATTATCCCAAGTTTTACAGATAAAGAGGCAGAGGTGCTGGAGGCTGACTTGTCTGAGGTCACCCAGCCAGTGAGTGGCAAAGCTGGGATTCATTCCAGCCAGCACGACTCCTGAGAAGTTATGCTTTGCTGCCTGTCGAGACATTTCTCAGTGCTGTTTCCTGGCTGGTGTTTTAAAATACAACCATACTCTGGTTGTTAAAGCAAGGCAGTGTCTTCAGGTCACTAAAAGCTGGGGTATAAACACTGGACACACATTTATTCCATGCTTTGCAGAGTATCGAGTCTGGATCCTACCTGGACAGAAGGCAGTGTTGTAGATGAGAGTCCTTAGGTTGCAAAGACCCAGTCAGGGCCTGGCTGCCTCTCCCCTAACGTGGAGAGTGGAGAAAGACCTTTTCTGCCTGAGCTCTGGGAAGTTGGGCTCTGCATCAAAGCCCTAGGGTGGGAAATGAGCTTGCCTGATAAGCACATGTGGATGAAAAAAATGAGGAGACGATCTGCATGGTATTATTTTCTTCTGGAGAAGTTTCACGTTGTTTTTTAAAAGGCAGGTAGATGAGAGCTGATCACCTTAAATCAGTCAGGCCTGTGTTGACTGAAGGCTAGCTTGGAGTTTTCCTGAGGCTGTGTCTACTCCTTTTTTGTCACTGTCCCTATGGCTTCCAGTGAAGACCCAGGGATTCCCCCTGGGCTCCCTCAGCACTGGTAGGTTTTGAGCCCTAATCTGCGTCTCTTCAGCACTATGAGACATTCAGAACTTGGTTGTGCCTTGTCACAGCATTTCTGTTTAACTCCTTAGCAGTCTGCTCCTGGAGCTTTAGAATTTGGGAAAAGTTACAAAAGCAGGGTTCTGTTCTTTGTCCCTTTTTACTCATTGAAATTTTGGCTCCTCAGATCTTTAATTTCTCTCTCCAGATGCTAAAGGCCCCAAACTCATTGCTGGGTTCTCTGGGTCTCGGTACCAGCCGACTGCCTGGACCCTTTGCTGGTTTTATCAGTATTCAGAATTAGCATGTGCCCTGAGGGGCTAGGGAAAGTCAACTTCCTTCTCTGCACCATTTTTTTTTTCCCTTTGGGATTTCTTTCCTCAAGTCTTATCACTCTACAAGACCTTCACTAGCTTGCACCCACATACTCACCTGACCACCCATCCATCTGCCTGGATTTTCTTGTTTTCAGGAGTGTCTGTCTGCCCCAGTGACTCTGTCTGACTCTTAAGAAATGAGCTAAATAGCTGTAGATGGGCTGAAAAGACTCTTTCATGGAAAAGGCATCCATCTGTTTATAGTGGAAAGTCAAGAACGAGGCCATAGGAAGGCTAGCAAAATAGGCCCAATCCACAAATCCAAACCTTGGGCTAAAGCAAAATTGAGCGTCTGCTATTACTAGGATCTTTTAGTGTCCTAGGCAGCCTCTCTCTAAGAGCATTGGCTATGCCTGTATGTTAATCTCTTGGCATGAGTTTAGTGCTAAATGTAATCTTTTCTGGCAAAACTGCAAGAGCAAGCTTTATGCGGTTAGCAAAGTTGGTGTGTGATGGTCTCCACAGGATGTGACACAGCTGTGAGACCACTGCAGCTTGCTTTCACAGCACGGAGGCCATCCAATTTCAGTTCAGAACAATGGCTGCTTGCCCTGGGAGTCTAGGGTCTCTTTTTGTCCGTCTCTTTATTTGTGCTAACAGCATCTTTGGGGTGTTGTCCAAGTAAGGTAGGAGTTATGTCGTGGTTGGATAGAAGGATTTGCTTTGAACATGGCTTTGCCAGTAGCCCTGCACACAGAGGGCAGAAAGCCCCCAGACTCATTGTCTGTTCTGCTTGCTTTTCTCTAGCCTGCACAGACAAGGAGTTGCGGAACCTTGCTTCCCGGCTGAAGGATTGGTTTGGAGCTCTTCACGAGGATGCAAACAGAGTCATCAAGCCTACCAGCTCCAACACAGCCCAAGGCAGTAAGATCATTTGACTTTTGCTCATTTATTTTAAATATCACATTTCAATTTATTAGACATTGTTTTAAGGTTAGCAATATCATTTGGGGGCAAAAAAAACCACTTACTATATTGAATATATACTTTGACTTTAAACAGGTCCCAAGAAAAAGAAGTTGGATTAAAAAATGTTTAGTAGGCTGGGTGTGGTGACTCACACCTGTAATCCCAGCACTTTGGGAGGCCAAGGTGGGTGGATTGCCTGAGCTTAGGAGTTCGCAACCAAGCTGGGCAACATGGTGAAATCCCATCTGTACTAAAAAAAAATACATATATATAAAAAATTAGCTGGGCATGGTGGCACCTATAGTCCCAGATACTGGGGAGGTTGAGGCAGGAGAATCACCTGAACCCGGGAGGTGGAGGTTGCAGTGAGCTGAGATCACGCCACTGCACTCCAGCCTGGGTGACAGAGCAACACTCCGTCTCAAAAACAAAAACAAAAATGTTTAGGCATTTTGGAAAAAATATATGATCTTACCATTTTAATGACCATAAGCATGCTGTGGTACATACTCTGAGGTTTTCTTCAGTGTCATATACGAAAGTGTGTGTGTATAATTACAAAGGTTGAATCATACTTTCCAGACTGTTTTATGAATTTTTACCATGTAGAAATGTGACTATGTTTTCATGTTGTGAATAGTATTCTGCTTTCTAATAGCTACACAGAATGCAGTTTATGGACATAACAACTTACTTAATTTGGTCTTTATTTAGGGACATTTAGGTTGTTACCAGTGTTAGGTTAGTAGAAGCAACACAGTAGCAAACATCTTTGGTGCTGTGACTTTGTGTACAATAGACCGCATATTATCTACCACAGAAACTCCCAGACAGGTGTCTCCTTTCCCCATCCATAACAGGCAGATTGCTCAAGGAGCCTCCCATTGGCGTCAGCTGCTGCGCTGGCAGAGACCATACTCAGCTTTGTCATAAGCTGCAGCAAACACTCAGAGTGGGCCCTTACATTTGCACATTGATGGAGTCTCGTTGATGCTTTTCATTCAAAGGCAGGGAATAGGTTTCTCCACACTGTGGCCAGTCAGCACAGAATAGATTACTAAACACCACAATTGTTTGGTACATGTAGTTTGGCCACAGCCTTTTCTATGTAGCCATTTTGATATTATTTGGTCAAAATATAAAAACATGTCATTTAAAATAGAGCATTTCACCTGATCCCACACTTGTCTGGGGTTTCTGAAAGTAATGCTCGTGGATGGAATGCAGTAGGTAAGAAGTTAGAGTAGCAACTGTTGAGATTGTCCAGAGGTTGACTAGCATCTGGTCTTCGGCCAAAACAAAAATGATCTCCCTAACTTTTAGTTATTCTTGGCTGCTCATAACCTTCCAGAGACATCAGTGGAGAACATCGATCCAGGGGGACAATTATTGAAATATTTGGGATCTTTTATCTTAAGGAAAAAACAGCATTTAAGTTCCAAAAGTGGTTCTTGGTGGTTGTATCTGTGGGAAAAGCAAAATAAGATTTTTTTCCCTGGATCCTCTAGGAGAAGCTGGACTTTTGGGTTTTCTGAACAACCTTTCAACAAAAAGCAGATTGATGTGAGGAGAACTGCTGCTTGCAGCCTCCAGTCTCTGGAGATTTCTCCAAAAGACCTGCCTTTGCCCAGAAGCAAATTGAGTCCCTGAAGAGGCTTTTTAGGTTTGATATCCTGAAGCAACTGGAGTGAAGGGAATGTCAAAGAATGATGCTTGGTTAGCCCACAAGGCCAGAGGAGTGAGTGGCGTTTGAGTCCAGGAGCTCTGAAGGGGAAGCCCGGGACCCTTGCTTGAACCTGTACTCTTGGGGCCAGCTAGAAGGGCTGCTCTCCTTTCCCCTGTATGCCAGGCAACCACGGATGTCAGATGAGGCACCACATTTCTAGCAGTGCTGCACCGGGCTTGACTTTTTGACTACTGCCCAACCAGATTGGCATTTCTTTTTGGAGACCAGTCAGCAGTAAACTCCTCTTTGTGTATTAAAATGTCAGTATTCTGTACAAAAGTGTAGAGCCGTGTAGAAAATTATCTCTTATTCAGCAGCCCCTGAGGACAGCGTTATCAAAGACTGATGACAATCATGATGTTCAAAGAAGGGGCCACGTTATGTCCCAAAGCCTCTCTGGAAAATAAAGGGTGTTTTAAAATGTGTTCTAAGATAATGAATACATTTAAAAATTGAAAGATTTTATGTTTAAAGCAATAGAGTTTGCAGCAGCTAGAAAACTTCTCCCAACATTTTTTTTTTTTAATCTAACGCTACATGCCTGTCATGCCTGAAGCTGCTGAAGGGGACAAGACAGTCTTTTCCCTCAGGGGGCCTATAGTCTGATTAACAAGCGTGGACAATGAGGGGAAGCACAGCGTTCTAAGAAAGCTCAGAGGAGGAGACGCTGCACTTATTTTATTGGCTTCTGGACAATGAAGACTTTTCTGCAAAGATGCTACCTGTACTCTAAAAAGAGTGGGTACACTTTGCTATATCCTACATTTCACTAAGCAGGGGTTCCTAGTGATGCACACAGAAACTTAATGACCAGGCTGTAGGCAACAGACCCCAGCAGGACCCCTTGCACTGCCCATCCCTAAACATGACACTGTAGCCCAACTGGATGGTCTCAGGACAGGAAGATCAAGTCAGGCAGAAGGCTAGCAGAGGAGTCATTGAGAATATGTAGGTTCTGGATTAAGCTTGCTGGGGTCTGAATCTCCATTCTACAATTGTATGACCTTGAGCCTTATTTTTTCATCTGTACAGTGGAGATGATGTGGCACCATTTCATAGGACTGTTACAAGGATTCAGTGAGATAATTAAGTGCAAAGTGCTTAGAAGCATGCTTTCTACATAGCAACACAGACGTTTGCATTTATCGGTATTCTAGAAAAATAAAACTAGTCCTGGAAATCCAGTTTATGGAACAGGAGATTTCGTGGCACCTTTGATTCTGAAGGAAAGATGAGTTTTAAATCTGGGGCATGTCTACAGTGGACTCAATATCCCGAGTGTTGAGCTAAGTGTTATTATTTTAGTGCATACAGTTTCCATTGTGGAAACAAATAATGTTTTAAGAAAGCAATGACTTCTCCCCCAGGGAAATAAGAAAGAAATTATTGTCTGAGTTGATTTGGATTCCATGTCATGGATCTCTTTAGGGGATTGAAGAAGAGAAGAGAGGCAGGCACCTGGCTTGTTTTGCCATTAATGTTCAGACTGCTTGGATTTAAAGGTCCTCTGGGATGTAATCAGTGCTTCTGGATTATGCTATATTGTTTCATTTCACTGCTATCCTTTTAAAGATATTCTGGTTTTTCAATTTTTTTTTGAAATATAAAAGCATAGTTTTTGGTATCATAAGCTATACTCCTCTTACTCATCATGTTTCTATTATTTCTTTTGGGCATACCCCATTTCAAGCAAATGAAAATACATATTTATATCACAGATACATTATCATTTGGGGATTTGTTCCCTTTAGAATATATTTTCCTCAAATGCTGACTTTTAAACTGTTTCACTTCAAAAATAAAACTCACAAAATATTCTAGAGAATCACTCAATCTGCATCCTGGGATGGAAACAGCCTTAGGAGGGGAGTGGGGTTGGGTCTTGGCATCTTCTTGGATCAGTGAGCAGGGAGGGAAGCACCAGGCTTGGTGGCAGCTGAGATGTGCCTTTTGCTTGGCAGGGTTTGACACCAGCATCCTACCCATCTGCAAGGACTCCCTGGGCTGGATGTTCAACAAGTTGGACATGAACTATGACCTCCTGCTTGACCATTCAGAGATCAATGCCATCTACCTGGATAAGTACGAACCCTGTATCAAGCCTCTGTTCAACTCTTGTGACTCCTTCAAGGATGGCAAGCTCTCTAACAATGAGTGGTGCTACTGCTTCCAGAAGCCTGGAGGTAAGGTGGGAGGGATACATGGGGTCCCTAGCCTAGGGCAGACTTGCTGGAATAGAGGAGGATCACATATGACTATGGAGAGGGCAGAGAGCCACAGTCAGACGATAAATAATTCATTCCATTTAATGCCAGGCCCAAAGTCTCATTTCTCCCAGTTTATTTCTGCTTTCAGTGTGGTGTACTAGAAAACCCAAGAGAATAAGTCAAGGAGTCAGTTACTTCTGCCTGTTCCTCCCTTTGGGAAAGTCTCTTCACTGTTTTTTCATCTATAAAATGGGTATAGAAACCTTCACTACATAATCCAAAGGTCATTGTGAGCTGTCAATGTAAAAAATACCTTACAAATGTAAGAGACAATGAAAATTATTCTCATTGAGAAAGCCACTTGTCAGTTTCTCTAGGGTAAATTCAGATTTATACTAAGTGTCCTACACAAGGTTATTTCAGTTATAAATAATCTCCAGCTAATGAATAAAAGAGGCAAAACTTGGGGAATAGAAGAAAAGATACTGGGGCATTTCAAAGTCAGGCAGGTTGGCTTGCAAGGGGATTCAGAGTAGGGACAGGAAGACTCTCAGGAAGCCAGTGGCAGGTGCTCTCACTTTGCCCCCCTCTGGCTGAGGAGTGCACCTACTATGGCAGTCACAGTTAATGGGACCAGCAGAGACTGGCCCACATCTGAATTCCAATCCCAAAACCCAGTGTGGGTCAGGTATTCAGGAGAACATATTACCACAAGCATAGCTGGCATACCCGACATACTCTGCCGCCAGGAAAGGAGGATAGCTGCTAATAGGAAAGTATTTAAGTTGTGTATATAAAACAACTATAATTTATGTTCTATGCATGTCTATATAGACAGTACACACAACAAAAAATGTAGGCATTATAAAAGGACATTCAGTGAAAAATAAGGATGTGTGTATGGGATTTCAAGATACGTTCTTAGAATTACTAGTCAAAAGGCCTTTTAAAATTGAGCAATATTTCCTACTTGACTTCACCTCCAAAGAGGCAACAATTTTTACTTTCACCAAAAATATTTGAGAATAGCTATTCTCTATGGTGTTGCCAAGCTTTCTGAGTTAGGCTGAACTTCTATACATATGAAACATTTGTAAAATGTCTATATGTTCTTTGTATATTTTTCTATCCGGTTCTTGTTTTTTTTAAGGAAATTGGAACTTTTCTGGACATAGATATTGCAACTATTTTTCCCAAATTTCAGTTGATGCATTTTTGCTAGGGAGAAATTTTAAGATAGTCAAACTTCTCCCTATTTTTTTGGCTTCTAAGACGCCATAAAGCTTAGAAAGGTATTCCTCACTTTATGTCTTATGTTTTCTTCATAAGAGGAAACCTTTTGTTTTTGTTGCTCACTTAAATTCTGTATCAGTCTAGATTGTGTATGTTTACATAGTCAGGCAGGCTCCCAGCCTCCCTGACAGCCCTGGAGATGGTCATCCAGTTGCCCTTTTCTCATTTATTAACTAATCTATCTTTTGCCCTTCAATTTGAAATGTGGCTTTTATGTATTCAAACTATTAATAAGTCAGTTTTAGACTTTTAAATCACAGTTGTTTTATAATATGTTTTAATATCTGGTAGGACCATCCTTTGCTGCCGTTAATTTTGTTTTTTAGAATTTGTCTGGATATTAACATGTTTCTTTCCCTCTGTGAACTTTAGCATGAGTTCACCCAATTAAAAATGGTTTCTATTGGTATTGTTTTTAGTATCAGACAAAATTAGATTAATCAAGTAAAAATCAATAGCTGTATGATATGGAATCATTTTGTCTTAGAACAGGATCTATCAACCAGTGGTGTTACATTTCAAAATTTTGTTCTAACAATTATTGTACTTTCCTTGAATTTATTATTGCTACCATTGTAAATGAAAAAGGTTGTTTTTTTTTTTGTTTTTTTTTTTACATTATACTCCCTCCCTGGTGGTTGTTTCAACATCGATTTTATTCCATCTACCTTACAAAGCTCTTGTTTTATTTATACGTTATTGCAGTTGGTTTGCTGGATTTTTCAGGTATGCAATCATACCATCTGCAGATAGTGATAATTTTTCTCTTTGTTTTTAATTTTATACCTCATTTCTCTTTTCTAATTATATCTGTTAGTATCTAAAATCAATGTTAAAATAATAGCCATTTAAAAATTTTAGTAAATACTTGTAGTGATTTTCAGCATTAAGTCTAGTGACAGCTTTAGGTTTGAATTCATATTGTATCATGTGATTTTTAGCATGGCTTCCTTACAACACAGAGCCTGTGTGTTAATGCTTTACCTGGAGGTAACAGTGCCAGGTCCTGAGAGTAAAGCTACGTACTGCCTTAACCAAGAGTCAGAGCTGGTCACCTGGCCTCATGGTACGTCTCTGGATAGACTACCCTTACTCTTGCGGTTGCTGAAAGCCAGAACCCCTACCTGTGGCACAGCATCCAGGACTGTCATAATAAATGCTACCTTTTATAATACAGATGAAATTTGTTTCTCCTTTCCTTTGATGTTTTCTGTTTATGTATTTCTCCTTTACTCTGAAAGCATCTTAAAACAAAAAGTCAACAAAATATATTTTACTAGCAGCTTCTCTCATGGAACAAGCACCAAGACCAGGTAGCATTGTGCAAGGTAGGAGTTGTAAATAGTTGCTCAGATACTTTATATGCAAGTGTGGGGCCTGTAGAAGGAGGCAGTATCAGCCAAATATAAGAGCTTAGAGAACCAGAACCCCTCTGCCAAGGACAGGAGAACCATGAACCACAAGGTCTGCCAAGGCAAGTCATGGTAAACTCTGAAGAACAAATGAGGTCACTTTTCATTTTGTTTAGAATGGAACTAACTGCTTTTCCATGACATGCATTTTGCAGCTGAGGACCCAGAGGCTGGAACAGGTGAAGAGACCTGCTCAAAGTAACCAGCTGGGAAGTGGCAGAGCCTAGATGTCAAGCCTCATCACTGCCTCTCCAGATCTCTTCTGTATCTTCATAATTGTCCCTTGGCTTCAAGAGATTAATTTGTGTTTTACTTTCATAGGGGTAGCGAACCGTGAGGTCTGAAGTAACCATTCCTATCCATCCGCTCCTACAGCAAAACCTAGGCTACATAAGCGTTTGTCACCTCTGATTAGTTTGTTTGTGGATTTGAAACACTTCCCCACTAATAAGCCTTGGCTGATTACTTCCTCCCTGATAGACAGGAAAAAGTCTGTTACACTACCTAGTAGATACTTGATATTTGCTTGAGTTGGCACTAGAAAGAAACAAACATTTCTATACAATGCAAGTAGCCCCCAAATGCTATTTTAAGTGTGTTGTGGTATGAGGTTTGTTTTGTAATTAGTCACACTAATGGCCTGAATTTGTTTGTTGTATAGTAACAGCATATGAAACAATTCCCCTCCCAGGTGTGTCATTGTCTACATTTCACGTCAAGAGTGAAGTCAATCATTAGAGATTATATTCCATGCCATCTGGAAATTGACTTCCAGAAATTATTTTTTAGGTCTCCCTTGCCAGAATGAAATGAACAGAATTCAGAAGCTGAGCAAGGGGAAAAGCCTGCTGGGTAAGTACAATTTCTTCACTCGTTTAAACAACTAATTAAACCAGCCATGTCCCTTATAATGATCAGCATGACAATGGTTATTCAATTAGGGCTAGTGTTTCATGAAAGAAATGCCTTGTTTTACCCCCAGGCAGAGCTCTTCCAGGCAGCTGGACATAAACAGAGGACTGGCTGGCTGGTTAAGAATTGCTGTGTGTTCCTTCAGCAAGAAGAGAGTTCCGCCAGGGCTGGACTCTAGCACCATCCCCACTGCTAACTCCTCCCTCATCTTAGGCTAAAACAAATCTTGGCTTTTTTTTTCCAAGTAAAATCATTGAATGGTGCTCTCAAGTGCTCTTTCCAGTGCTAAAACTATAAGGTCTAAAAATTATAGCATTTCCTCTGTTCCCTAGATAGGGTTATCTGTTGAAGGAAAGAGATGAGCTGTCCTCTCTTCAGAATTGATCAGACAGGGTTGAACAACATGCATGTGCTTTAGCCTATTTCTACCTCCACCTAATCCCTCCAGGAACGTATGCAGGTATGCAGGCTGTTTAAACACAATGGAAGCAAGTGGGTTGTATGAATATGTGTTCTCCTAACATGCAAATCTTGCGGGCCTCTCAAGGGGCTAAAGAGCTCCCAGCCTGCCTTTCTCCAGCATGTGGAGGAAGTCCTGGCATTTGTCATAGAAACATTGGAAATTCTCATTGGTTTGCTGAAGAAAGGAAGAGTCTGCTTTGCTTTCCTTTCTTTTAAAAAAAGAGGTGTCAGCTGTAACAGTTATTCAGAATTATTCCTGTGAAGCATTCAGAGGCAGGTGCATTCCCTAAGCAGCCTGCCATTTCAGAATTTCTCTGTTTATTTGAAGGAAATGGGCAAGTTTTCTTGCAGATTGTCTAACGTAGGCAGTCTATGAATTCCAGTGATTTCTCCTCTTATGATTTTTTTGAGTTACCTCAAAATGCATATATTCTCTTCCTTTGACTTTTGGCTTTTGATGACTTCCCCAAAGTCATGATTTTGAACTCCTTGGGTCTACATTCTTCTCATGAGTAAAAGGACGTAAAGATATATTTCTGGTCTGAAGGCAAAGTGGCCGGATCCCTCCTCCATAGGTTTTTCCAGTGCAAGAACTTGTGTTTATTGATCTAATTTCTCCCTGTGGGATATTATTTTGAGTGAAATACCTATGATCTACAGGTGGTTGAAGAACTAGTACACTGCCGTTTATTAAACCTTGATTTATGCAGTATAGATATCTTATACATTGCCTCATTGTTAAGGGTCACCTGTGATTAGATGTCTCATATTCCATTTACCCCACTGCATGTGAATGAAATGCCTACCTTTCTCCTAAAATAAACTTCATTTTGTTTTAAAGCTTGCTTTATCACATTTCCCACATATGGGGATTACTCCAGCTGACTCAGAAAGAAATGCCATTTATTTGCTTACAAATTCTTTATATGTTCAGGGGCATACAGATTCAAATAAATAAAACAATAACAAATTATTATCAGCTATAATTATTGCATCGTAGATTTAGAGCAGCACCTGCTTCTTGGCAACCTCGGAGCTCAACCCAATTTTTTTTTCGGTCCAAGGAGGAGCCAGCTATCTACATGTTCTCTTTGTAAGCAGCCCTTGATTGAAAACCTGTTCACAAATCTCTTTTTGGGCTATTGACAACATCTACTGCTCTTTGAAAACTAATGTGCAGTGGCTTATACTCCTTAATAAGAGGGTGGCCATCACTAAGTATCCAACTGTGGCATCAGCAGCCCTTCCTAAGTGGTAGCTATAGTGTTCCATGGTCTCATTTCATCTCTGAGAGTGTGGTCATCTTGGTATAGCCTGGTAGTAGCGTGTTCTAGACTAGACCCTAGAGTCAGCTGGGTCTAGGTTTATGTCTTGACTTAAAATAGGAGAAATCTGTCGCCTGCCCCCCTTATTTATTTATTTTTTTTCTGGGATTGTTCCACTAAATAAAAGGTAAATTGGAAAATGTAAGCACGCTTACAAAACTCAGAAACAAAATTAGGACATAGAAAGCCACAGTGGTAGGCAGGAGCCTCTGTTTTCAGGAGGCTGATACGGATGGTGTTACCACCCAGGTTACACAAAGAGGAAGAATTCTTCCATACAAGATGCAATCTCACTATCATGAAACACACACCCCCTGTAAGGAAAACCAAAGCTAAAAACTGTTATAAATAAAGATTACCCACAGCACAATGAGAATCAGATTGACATCAGACTTACTGTTGACAATGCTGACTTACGAAGAGAAAATATCTTCAAAGTGCTGAGGGGAAATAACTATGAACCTACAATTTAAAATTTATCCCAATGATCATTCAAGTGTAATGGCAGAGATACTCTGAAACCATCCAAGATTCAGTCAGCTTGCTAACCACAGACTCACTTAAATATCTCTAAAGGATTTATTCTACCAAACAAATGATCCCAGAAGGAATTATTCAGATGCAATAATGAAAAAGAAATGACATGCTTCTAACTCTAAATAAATACGACCAAAAAAATAGTTTTATAGCAACCTAGAATTAAAATTCCAGACAATTGGGGGAAGTGAGAAAAAGGTGGTAAGAATGTGTGAAGCTTCTAGTTTGTTCATGAAAAAAATGAATATATAGATTAACTGTAGATCTTACTGGGGAAAACTATGCTCCTCTGTGGAAAATATGAATAACCATAAGAATATTAGAATACATAGTGTTTAAACCTATAGAAATAAGACAAGATATAAACAAAATTTGATTTCCATAGAAGGCAGGAAAAATGGTAAGTAGAAAACAGATATGGTGGCAGAGATAGGAGTAAGCATTTCTATAATCACAATAAATGTGAACAGGCCAAACACATTTATTATTATTGATAAGTATTTTAAAGGAGAGTTATATGAAAATAATTCCACAAAAAGTTGAAATTAAATGAGGGTAAATACTCTTTTTTAAACAACATTAATGTCTGACACAGCATATCTGTTTTTTACAACACAGTCATCTTGCTGAAATATCCCTTTTACTATATGCCAGCAGTTGCTGTGTAGACATGCCTTGCTTAATGACAGGGATAGGTTCTGAGAAATGTATCATTAGGTCACTTTGTCATTGTGTAAACATCATAGAGTATACTCACACAAACCTAGGTGGTATAGCCTATTGCTCCTAGGCTACAACCCTGTACATCATTTTATTATACTGAATACTACAGGCCATTGTAACATAATGGGGATTATTTTTATATCTAAACATAGAAAAGGCAGTGTAAAAATATGTTGTTGTAGTTTATGGAAACATTGTCACACATATACAATCCACTGTTGACTAAAGAATGGAATAGAACTGTAAGGGGGATTTATATCCACAGTGGTCTTCAGAAACTTTGACATAACTCTTCTTGAAACAAACAGTTCAAGTAAACAAAGATTTGTTAGCATTCACACTTATATTTGTATTCCTGAACCTAGCCATTGAATCCAGTCTTTCAAACACACACAAATATTTGCCACAGACCATATCACAAAAGAAAACTCAATAAATTTCAAGCAAATGATCACAGATCAAACCTACTGACCACAACAACAGAAGTAAAATATGAGATTACTAAACCCCATACATTTGGTTTCATAAATAAATATTGATCAAAGATGAGTGTAAAAACTACAAAATATTTAGAAATGAATGAAAATGAAAGCATGGTGTACCAAATACATAGGAAGCAACTAAAGTAAACTTAAGAAAACTTCATCACTTTAAATGCATTTTTTAAAAAAAGACAAAAATGAAATTAACTGAATTTTCAACTCAAAAAGCTTTAAGAACAACACAAAGTGAATAGGACTAAGGCAGACAACAGTGAAGTAAAACTTAAAATACCATATCAGAGATAGTTTTTTGAATAAACTAATGACATAGACAAATTTGTGACAATATAAAGACGTGAAAAGGCTCAAATAGTGACGAATTTAAATGTGCGATATAAGCTCAGTTATAGAATACTGTAAATTGTGGTTCTCAAACTTACAAAAACCTAGATGAAATGGATACTATCATTTACCAAATTTTGGTAACAGAAGACCCAGGTAAATCAAAACCAGGAAATTAATCAAAATGCTACTCTCACCCCCCTCAAAATGGGCACCAAGCCCAAGATATTTTTATGGACACATTCTCATTTTGTAAAAAATGTCTAGAGTATACCTGAATCATTTTATGAATTAAGAACATCAATAGAAACAATGCAGAAAACACAGAAATAAAATTATATGCCTCAATCACTGTATTAGTCCATTTTCACACTGCTATGAAGAAATACTCGAGCCTGGGTAATTTCTACAGAAAAAAGAGGTTTAATGGACTCACAATTCCTCATGGCTGAGGAGGCCTCACAATCACTGGGGTGTAAGGCAAGAGCACAGGTGCAGGGGAACTGCCCTTTACAAAACCATCAGATCTCATGAGACTTATTCACCATCACAAAAACAGCATGGGCAAAACCTGCCCCCATTATTCAGTTACCTCCCACAGGGTCCCTCACATGACACTTGGGGATTATGGGAGCTACAATTCAAGAGGAGATTTGGGTGGGGACACAGCCAAAACATATCAATCACTTAGTGACATATTTGTAAATTTGTGCCACCGGTAATCCATCTTGTTAAAAGTATGTAAACCATAAAAACCATATGATTTTCTCACGTTAAACATGTAAGTAATAACAGTAGTGCCCATTCAAGATTTAAAGGGAAAAATTCGTACTAATCAAAGAAGGAATAGAAGGAATTTCGCTTAACCTTGGGCACATTGTTTAACTCCAGTTTATCACTTCTTTTGTCTGTAAACAGGGAGATAGTAATAGCAACACCTTATGGTGATATTGGCATGGCTTGATGAAATAATGCAAGTAAAGCACTTAGCTATTATTACCTCTTTCTTACAGTCTAGAAGACAGTGACAAGGAATGGCTTGGAACTGTGTGATCCATGGACTGGTATAGTTCATAGAACATTTGTTACTAGTCATAGTTAATGCATATGGAAAGTTTTATAGCAATGTCACTTTATGTGGTTGCGCAAAGTATTGGTAATGCTGGACTTGATATTTACTAGCAGATGCCTTGGGAAGATTACTTAATTCTCCTAGACCTCAGTTTCCTATTTATTAAAAGGTAGCAATGGTAAGTATCTCTTAGAGTTGTGGGGATAAGAGATTGCACAAATATATGTATATGTGCACATGGATTAGATCAGTGCCCAGAATAGAAGTATCATTCCTGTTTAAAAACTAAGCTCCTTAGAACTCAGTGCATTTGGGCTCCCAAAGGTTAAGGGCCCTGTAATCTTGACTAAGTAATAGCCAACCATCCCTATCCTCTGCTGCTGGCCCTGCAGCAGATATTTTGACATGTGAGCCCTCTTTCCTGTGTTGTGGGGCATAAACCCTGAGTATCTCTGCACATCTCTGATTAAAGTTGTACCTTTTGTTCCCCCAGGGGCCTTCATACCTCGGTGTAATGAGGAGGGCTATTACAAAGCCACACAGTGCCATGGCAGCACGGGGCAGTGCTGGTGTGTGGACAAATATGGGAATGAGTTGGCTGGCTCCAGGAAACAGGGTGCTGTAAGCTGTGGTGAGTAGGCCCTCCTGCATCAGCCCCACAGTGACCTGGCTGACCTGTGGGTCCTCACTGTGTAAGGATCTCCACAGAAGAATGACGAGAGGTAGCTCCAGTCTATATTGAGTTTATAATGGTGATACAGTAACCCTGAAATCACATGAACTCACATGTCGCTAGCTTGGCAAGTGGCAGGAACTCACTATGCCCAGAGAAGGGAGTCAGACAGAACTGCTGCAGGCAACGAGCGACTTCGGCTGCCTTCACTTCTTATTTAGGGTTGTAAACCTCCTGGGAAGGTAGGAGCATCTCAAGAATTCTAGGACTCTTATGAGAACATAGTTTGTAATCTGTGCCTGTAGATTGACCTCAGTGGGGCAGGGATGTTTCCGTGTTTAGAAAGTAAACTGCTGGTTTTACCCACAGTTAAGTCACATGCAAAGGGAAAACTGCTGACATGGGATATGTGATATAAATGGAAACTAACCTCAATGCTTGAATCTTTCAGAAGAGGAGCAGGAAACCTCAGGGGATTTTGGCAGTGGTGGCTCTGTGGTCCTGCTGGATGACCTAGAAGATGAGCGGGAGCTGGGACCAAAGGACAAAGTGGGGAAGCTGAGGGTGCACACCCGAGCCGTGACAGAGGATGATGAGGACGAGGACGACGACAAAGAGGATGAGGTCGGGTACATATGGTAGTGCCCGCAAGAAAGAGGACACAAGTTTTGCACAAAATTGCAAGTCAAATCCTATTCTTGCATTTGTATCTGAGACTCCAAGGCACCAAGGTCTCTTCTCCATTGTTCCTCTCTATACCCGACCTAAGGTTTGGAAGACAACTGCTTGTTCCCAGAGGATTCTGATTTTTGCATATGTTTGTATGGGAGAAAGAGTGTTGCGTTTTGTTGCTGTTTATTTTTTGGATAGGGAAATGGCCGATTAACTAGAGCCTCCTTCCCTCCTGTGAGATTTTTCCAACAAGCATGTGATTTATGTGGAATTCTGACAGTGCAGGGAGCCCCCACCCTCTTAAACGTCAAAGACCCTTTTGGTTACCCACACTGGTGGTTATTACAGCATGGTTCCCAGCCTTACAGTGTCTAAGTGCTTTTCTTGTGTCCTGTAGATGTTGTGAAAAAGAAAAAAAAAAACACACACACACACACACATACCACACTGTACATTTCCCCCCTGCCACTTATTACTCCTCGTGTTTATTATTAAAAATTTGTTTTTTCACATCATTCTATCTGGCTTCCTATAAACAACAGCCTTAATTCAGTTAAGACTCCCTTTGGGGAATTCATTTTATAAAAAATCAGTGTCTGGATACTTCTCTGTACATGCATAAATACGCATGCATGTATAGAAAGACTGTGTGTGTTCTTTGCACACACACACATACCTCTCAGAAAAAGTGTTTGACTATCTTAAAAATTCACCTGAGAAACAATTATAAATTTGTCAGCTTGTCCAGACTGGAACGAAATTTCTAGAATAAGAAATTTGTATCAAAGTCCTTTTTTGCACTAACGGTTGGCACTTGTAGCCTGCAGGCTGAGGAGGTCTCTTCTGTGTGCATCAGCAGTTACTGAAAGCCTCTGATTGAGAAAAAACCTCCGTCTGCCTAAATCACTTTTCTCACAGAAGCCATGTGACTCCCACACAACATGGGCCGCTTCACAAGCCATCATCTCTTTCATTTCTGCTCCAAGCGCCCTTGGCTGCAGCCGTCCTGTCTGCCACAGGTTCCTTCCTTCCTTACCTACTCAAGGGCTTTTTCTAAGGCATGCACACATATCCCCTGTTCTCTGAGAGGAGAGTACCATGGTGTTCCTTAAGAGAAGAAAATTTCTAATTCTGAACTCAATGTTTTGCTTTTACTCCCTTTCTACTGACAAATCATAAGGGCACAAAAGCTGTACAGACTTTTTCTTAACCACACAAAGAGTCCCAAATGGAGGCCTACAAAGAACATCATAATAGCACATGGAAGCAAACCCTGGGTTTTAAAGAGCAAATTCTGTCCCCCATCACTCCCCGTAAGTTACAAGATACTGATGAAGAAAGTTCGTCACCATAGTGTTTGTTTTAACTAAACTCACTGGAGTCTAGTTCCAAATTTGGTAGAGTCATCATCTCAACATTCCTTAGAATTTCTTTCCCTATCCAGCTGACCCAAGATACAAGTACCAAAGACTAGTCTCTGAAGTTCCCCATTTCACTCAGTACCAGTCCATAAGCTCCTGCCTTACCTGGCTTTCATCTACCAGGATGCCCTAATCAGAATCAACCACCCAAGCAAGGCTCTCTGGCCCATATATCTGTCTCTTGCTTTCCCCCATGAACTTCAGTCTGTCCACACAAAAGCCACATGAACTCAAGCAAGAAGTATGTTCAGCCAAAACATCATAGTGGCAGCTGACCAATCCCCCACCCCAAACTAACCATTTCGATGTACCAACCCACCTTAAATTAACATGTTCCAATGCTTGCATTGGCTGAATAAAGTGGCATTAGTTGGTCTTTCTTAGCTACGAAATGAACATACTTGATATAGCAAAGTCCTTTGGCTTCGTAAATAACCCTGAGGTTTTATACAGCTAGTGCTCGACTTACGACCACGATTGGTTCCAACAGACCGGTCGTAACACGATTTGGTCTTAAGTTGAGTAGGCTATATGCACGTGGAGATGGTAGTGCTGCCGGAAGCTGGTCCGCACTGTCGTATGCCCAGCTGGGCAACGTTTGCGCTGCCAGATGCGGAGCAGTCGTGGCTAGCGATTGTGGTCGTAAAGTCGAATGGTTGTAAGTTGCATACGTTGTAAGTCGATCAATACCTGTACTTACTTTCCCCAGAGACAGACCATAGGCAAGCTCTATATTGGGATCTCAACTCCATCACCTTTGTTTCAGTATTTTTTCTTTCTTGAACAAAACTAAGGTAATTTAGAAAGCAGGTACTTAATTGCAACAAAATTAAAGTATATTAAAAATCAAGACATGTTTTAAAATCCCAGTTTAGATCATCAAAGAAAACCATTGTTACTATCTCCTTTGAGTTTAGACAAATGTACAAGAAAACAAATTGAAATTGAAAAATTGATTTCACTTAGAAAAACTAGGAGCAGGGTGAACCACTAATTTTAATTTGCCTGATTATCTTATGACAAGTATCAAATTAAGATGACACTTAAAGATCCTTAGCATTAACTTAATGATGGAGAAGAGAGCTCAATAGATCATTCCCAGTAAGGTAATGAGATGACATTTTCAGAGACATTCTAAGAAGATAATTCATTAAAATATTAAATACAAAGCCCTCCTCAAACTGGAACCCCCAAATTGATGGAGCCACTTTAATAATACTTTTCATGCCTCACTTTGACATGACAGCATTAGATTTTTAAAAGACCTTTAATACTTTCCGTGAGTACTAAAAATTAGAATGAGTTACCTTATCCTTAGAAGTAGAATGTTTGCTTTCTTCTTTTTGGAAAGAGACCCCCAAAAAGCCCACTGGTACCAGTGACAGGGAGTCACTTGTACAGTGACCAAGTACACATAAAATACTGATTAAAAAATAGTATCATAATAATCCAGTCCCTTGTCTGATACAAATATTAAGCTGAACCCTCACTAACTCACTTTTGAAAAGTTCTTAGTGAATAGCTTCATTCTTATTCCATAAACAGCTCTTTTAATACAATTTCCTTGGCATCCAAATTAAATCCCAGAATTTTGTTCCACCATGGTTAGTTGTTTGCCATCAGAATGTATTATTGTTTCTACCAATATTCTAGGCATGAGAATACCTTAATACTGAGTTGGAGGTTTTGTATCTTGTTTCTTCTCCTTTACGACCATTTTCTTACCCACAGTAGCAAATGACAATGTGTCTGTCCAGGTCTGCCCCCTCCACTCGCATTTTTTCTTGTTATCTTGACCACACTGTACAGTAACATTCAAGAGCCCGTTCTGCAGTGGGTGGTTTTGGTCTTTTTATATACCTTTTTCTCAAAGTCACTGATGTTTGTCCCTGTTCAATGTGTAGCATTGTAATGAGAGCCCATCTAATCCTGAGTGTCAGTTTGTTGTCCCTATTGTAGATGAAATAGTGACGTAGCAAAAACCTAGTAAATTCTGAATGCTTTTCCACGTAGACTTATCTGGAATGTGAACACAACTCTTTGGTTAATAGTAAATGCTTAACTGTAGTCCTGAGTAGGTGCATTTCTGTCTGTCTCAATAAATTTTACTTTGTCTGCAACATCTGAGTGTTTGTAATTCACTGGGCAGTATGTGCATTCAGCACGCACATCCCGCATGCAATCACTATGGAACGGTATGAGCACAAAAGAGGATAACCAACAGGCTCTGTCAGGACTTCCGATTGTGGTAGACAGGTCTGCCTGCAGGTAGTCTGGCCTGGTACCTGCAGCACCCCTGGCACATGCATGCCCTATGCCTGCTCAGTCTAGAACAGGGGTCCCCAAACCCTGGGCCACAGACCAATACTGGTCCATGGCCTGTTAGGAACCTGGCTGCAGAGCAAGAGGTGAGCAGCAGGTGAGCAAGTGAAGCTTCCTCTGTATTTATAGCCACTCCCTGTCACTTACATTATTGCCCGAGCCCCGCCTCCTGTCAGATCAGTGGTGGCATTAGATTCTCAAAGGAGTGCAAACCCTCTTGTGAACTGCGCACACCAGATATATAGGCTGCATACTCCTTATGAGAATCTAATGCCTGATGATGTGTCACTGTCTCCTATCACCCCCAGATGGGACTATCTAGTTGCAGGAAAACAAGCTCAGGGCTTCCACTGATTCTATATTATGGTGAGTTGTAGAGTTATTTCATTATATATTAAACTGTAATAATAAAGTGCACAATAAATGTAATGCACTTGAATCATCCTGAAACCATCTCCCTCCCCCTGAGGTTGATGGAAAAATTGTCTTCCATGAAACCCATCCCTGGTGCCAAAAAAGTTGGGGACTGCTGGTCTAGAACCACTCACCTGAGTCCTCCTTTTGGCGGCCTTTGCCTATCTAAGGCTCCAACTTCACTCCTTACCTATCAGATTTCACTCTTGTCATCCTGTTTAAAGTTTTTAAACTCTGCTTATCCCTTCCCTCCCCCGCCAGTTATTCTCTAATTCTCTGAAAAACAAAAAACAACAACACAACCCACCTCTCTTCCCTTTATGGGGACCCTAGGGTCCCCTCTGTTCTGGAATATAACAGATTCTTGTTGAACATCAAAGTCAGAAAGCACTCAAATTGGTATGGGAATTATTTCCGTTTCCCCTCTATCCACATTTGGGCCAGTGTGTCTATGACTTAATTATACCCTCAGTGAGTAATTTTGCCATGAGCTGAGGTAGAAACTATCTTATGAATAATTCCACTCCTTTGCCCTCTGGACTAGATTTTACAGACAGTTTACAGATTGACAGTTCAAGAAAAGGTGCTTCGTAAATCCGCAAAATAACCAATGTCAGGAGAACAAGGGCCAATGTGATGTCTCCAAGGTAGTTAAGGGCACATTAAAGAATTGTTGGCATTTGTGAACACACTTCAGATTCCTCTCAAATCAGCAGTTAAACCCCAACCACTGTTGTGGATGCCATATTAGTTTGTTGAAGGCCAAGACTAACGAACGCAAGAACAATTGGAAGCCAGTTCTCCAGCTTTGGTTACAGAGCTGACCATAAAAGTCACACTACTTTCTCAAATTTCTTAGTGGTAAGATTTGCTTTGATATATTGACTTAAAGAAAAAGACTTAAAAAATTTATTCATTCAACAAACCTTTATAGATTAATTGGTAGGTGTATAGATTTCACTCTGTTGGATGGATAGATGCCACCATGGGCAGGAAACATAGTTCTAGGAATATAAAAGTGAGTGAGATCTGGTGCCTGCTTGAAAAAGTTATTACCACCTTGAACAAGACAAACAAATAATTGTTGAAAAAACTAGGTGGAGGCTGGACGTGGTGGCTCACACCTGTATCCCCAGCACTTTGGGAGGCTGGGGAGGACAGATCTCTTAAGCCCAGGAGTTTGAGACCAGCCTTGGCAACATAGTGAAACCCTGTTTCCACTAAAACACACAAATTAGCTTGGCGTGGTGGCAGGCACCTGTAACCTCAGATACTCAGGAGGCCGAGGCAGAACAATTGCTTACATCCAGCGGGTAGGGGTTGCATTGAGCCAGGATCATACCACTGAACTCCAGCGACAGGGTGAAATTCTGTCTCAAAAATCTCCCACCCCCCTAAAAACATTAGTTGGGTACAGTGGCATGTGCCTGTAGTCCAAGCTCCTTCAGAAGCTGAAGTCGAAGGATCACTTGAGCCTGGGAGGTTAAGGCTGCAGTGAGCCATGATCGCACCACGGCACTCCAGCCTGGTGACAGAGTGACTTCCTGTCTCAAAAATAAAAATGGGGAAGGTTGATGTTGAGGGCAGTAGCTACTGAATCTTTGTTAACACTTGCCTTTCTTGGTTCTTTTTATCCATCATTGCCTGGCTTTCCTCCTGCCTTTCTGGACATTTCTTTTAAGTCTCCTGTATATTCTTTTCTTTAGCCAGTTCTGTTAGTATGGGTATACCTCAGATCTGCATCCCCATCCCATGTTTAATTTTACATGCTTTCTTTGGACAGTCTTATATTTGTCTATGGTTTTAAAAATCTCCTCCATTCTGAGATGCCCTCAATATGTATCTCAAGTATAGGTTTTGATTTTTGTTCCATTCTGAAACAATCACCTGCCATTTGGATAATTCTACTTGAATTTTTCACTGACACCTCAATTTCAAATTTTAAAAAATCCAAATGACAGAATGAAATATATAAGGAAT